CCAAGATGGCCGCCAGCGGGAAACTTATTTTAACATAGGACCCTATGGGAAATACATTCAACATGGCATGAATGTTCCTTATGAGGTGCTGACCAAGTGTTGTTACTTTGCAGCCGATCCATCATCCAAGATGGCCGCCAGCGGGAAACTTATTTTAACATAGGACCCTATGGGAAATACATTCAACATGGCATGAATGTTCCTTATGAAGTGCTGATGAAGTGTTGTTACTTTGAAGCCCATTCATCATCCAAGATGGCTGCCAGCAGGGGACTTAGTTCAACATAGGACCCTAAGGGAAATACATACAAATGTCTTTTTTTAGCGAACCACTGAATGGAATGAAACCAAACATGGCATGAATGTTCCTTATGAGGTGCTGATGAAGTGTTGTTACTTTAAATCCCATTCATCATCCAAGATGGCTGCCAGCGGCGGCCTTAGTTTAACATAGGATCCTATGGGAAATACATACAAATGTCTTCTTTTAGAGAACCACTGAATGGAATGAAACCAAACATGGCATGAATGTTCCTTATGAGGTGCGGACCAAGTGTTGTTAATTTGAAGCTGATCCATCATCCAGGATGGCCGCCAGCAGGCGACTTAGTTTAACATAGGACCCTAAAGGAAATACATTCAAATGTCTTCTTTAAGAGAACCACTGATTGGAATGGAACCAAACATGGCATGAATGTTCCTTATGAGGTGCTGACCAAGTGTTGTTACTTTGCAGCCGATCCATCATCCAAGATGGCCGCCAGCGGGAAACTTATTTTAACATAGGACCCTATGGGAAATACATTCAACATGGCATGAATGTTCCTTATGAAGTGCTGATGAAGTGTTGTTACTTTGAAGCCCATTCATCATCCAAGATGGCTGCCAGCAGGGGACTTAGTTCAACATAGGACCCTAAGGGAAATACATACAAATGTCTTTTTTTAGCGAACCACTGAATGGAATGAAACCAAACATGGCATGAATGTTCCTTATGAGGTGCTGATGAAGTGTTGTTACTTTAAATCCCATTCATCATCCAAGATGGCTGCCAGCGGCGGCCTTAGTTTAACATAGGATCCTATGGGAAATACATACAAATGTCTTCTTTTAGAGAACCACTGAATGGAATGAAACCAAACATGGCATGAATGTTCCTTATGAGGTGTTGACCAAGTGTTGTTACTCTGAAGCCGATCCATCATCCAAGATGGCCACCAGGGGGAACTTAGTTTAACATAGGATCCTATGGGAAATACATACCGTCTTTTGGTATGTATAGTGCACACATTTATACCCTGGGTCATGATTCTTGTAAGAGGGGTGCGCGTTATACATTCCTACAGATATTTTCTTAGACTTTTTTCAGGTCCAAACTCCAACAAAGAAATTTCCAGGACAAGTGAAGAGTACGGAATATTTTAGAATCAACAAACAAAAAATATATTTTAACAATTTATAACAGCACTAATGATGTTAATGATTCATAATTATGTTATTGCGGCTGACTTAGTTTAACATAGGATCCTATGGGAAATACATACAAATGTCTTCTTTTAGAGAACCACTGAATGGAATGAAACCAAACATGGCATGAATGTTCCTTATGAGGTGCTGATGAAGTGTTGCTACTTTTTTTGCTAATTAACTGTTCAAAATGGCGACCAGGATTTTTTATTAAATTATTAAATCAAATTTGGCCTCAATCATTATTTGGGTATCTGAAATGTTTGCGGTCGTATATTGGTATGACGTTGGCGTCGTCGTTGTCGTTGTCATTGTCTCCGGCGTCGTCCGAAGACACATTGGTTTTCGCACTCTAACTTTAGTTTAAGTGAATGGATCTCTATGAAATTTTACCACAAGGTTCAATACCACAAAAGGAAGGTTGGGATTGATTTTGGGGGTTATGGTACCAACAGTTAAGGAATTAGGGGCCAAAAATAAGCATTTTTGTAACTTCCAGACATAACTTGTGTGTTAGTGTATGGATCTCTCTGACATTGTACCACAAGGTTCCATATCACACAGGGAATGCTGGGATTGATTTTGGGGGTAATTACCTCAAAATATTAGGAATTGGGGGCCAAAAAAGGGGCAAAAAACAAGCATTTTTCTAGTTTCATGACAATAACTTGTAAGTGTATGAATCTTTCTGAAATTGTACTACAAGGTTCCATATCACACAGGGAATGCTGGGATTGATTTTGGGGGTAATTGCCTCAAAATATTAGGAATTAGGGGCCAAGAAAGGGTAAAAAAAACAAGCATTTTTCTAGTTTCATGACAATAACTTGTAAGTGTATGGATCTTTCTGAAATTGTACTACAAGGTTCCATATCACAAAGGGAAAGCTTGAATTGAGTTTGGGGGTAATTGCCCAAAACGTTTAGGAATAAGGGGCCAAAAATAAGCATTTTTCTAGTTTCCAGACAATAACTTGTGTTCAAGTGTATGGATCTCTCTGAAATTGTACAGAAAGGTTCCATATCACACAGGGAATGTTGGGATTGATTTTGGGGGTAATTACCTCAAAATATTAGGAATTAGGGGCCAAAAAAGGGGCAAAAACCAAGCATTTTTCTAGTTTCAAGATAATAACTTGTGAGTAAGTGTATGAATCTTTCTGAAATTGTACTACAAGGTTCCATATCACATAGGGAAAGCTGGAATTGAGTTTGGGGGTAATTGCCCAAAACGTTTAGGAATAAGGGGCCAAAAAGGGGCCAAAAATAAGCATTTTTCTAGTTTCCAGACAATAACTTGTGTTCAAGTGTATGGATCTCTCTGAAATTGTACTGCAAGGTACCATACCACAAAGAGAAGGCTGGGATTGAGTTTGGGGGTGATGAATCATAAGGGGGTTCAAAAAATTTGGGGGGGGGGATTTTTTTTTTTTTCCTTTTTTTTTTCTTTTAAAATTTTCCATTTTAAGTTTGTTATTTCTGTTTTATATTTAAAAGCAAATAATAATGATATGGTAGGAGATACACACCAAACAGGATGTGTAAATTATTATATAATAAGTATTGTGCAATAGCAAGAAATTTTCAATTGCACAGTATTGCACAATAGCAAGATATCTTCAATTGCACAGTATTGCGCAATAGCAAGAAATCTTCAATTGCACAGTATTGTGCAATAGCAAGAAATATCCAATAGCACAATATTGCGCAATAGCAAGAAATTGTCAATTGTACAGTATTGCGCAATAGCAAGAAATATTCAATTGCACAGTATTGTGCAAAAGAAGATACTTCGTATACGTATAAATTACTTATTTCTTGACCAATTTCAATGGGGTTTTATTCTTGAATTCTTGGGGTTCTTTAATATGCTGATTCTAACCGTGTATTAAGTTTTTGGATTTTGGGCCCCGTTTTTAAATTGGTCCACATTGAGGTCCAAAGGGTCCAAAATTAAACTTTGATTGATATCATCAAAAATTGAATTATTGGGGTTCTTTGATATGCCGAATCTAACCGTGTATTTAGATTCTTAATTTTTGGTTCCGTTTTCAAATTGGTCTACATTAAGGTCCAAAGGGTCCAAAATTAAACTTAGTTTGATTTTAACAAAAATTGAATTCTTAAGGTTCTTTGATATGCTGAATCTAAACATGTATTTAGATTTTTGATTATGGGCCCAGTTTTCAAGTTGGTCCAAATCGGGGTCCAAAATTAAACTTTGTTTGATTTCAACAAAAATTGAATATATGGGGTTCTTTGATATGCTGAATCTAACCATGTATTTAGATTTTTGATTTTTGGGCCCCATTATCAACTTTGTCCACATTGAGGTCAAAAGGGTCCAAAATTAAACTTTGTTTGATTTCATCAAAAATTGAATTCTTAGGGTTCTTTGATATGCTGAATCTAACCATGTATTTAGATTTTGGATATTGGACCATAATAGGTTAATGTCCAATTTAAAATTTTTAAGTTCTTAGACCACATTCATTCTGTGTCAGAAACCTATGCTGTGTCAAATATTTAATCACAATCCAAATTCAGAGCTGTATCAAGCTTGAATGTTGTGTCCATACTTGCCCCAACTGTTCAGGGTTCGACCTCTGCGGTCGTATCAAGCTGCGCCCTGCGGAGCATTTTATTATCTATTTTTACATCATTTCCAAAACCAAAGTAGAGTCAGGTGAGCGACACAGGCTCTTGAGAGCCTCTAGTCTATAAAACTTTTATAGATAGATAGAAACTCAAATAAGCAGAAAAATGATCAGCAAGAATTGATGTACATATAAACTATAAAGCTGAAATCATCAGTCCACTCCTTGTAGGAAGACTTACTCTTTTTGACAAATTTTACCAATAGTTTATGTTTTTGACAAATATCTTGAAAACTATAAAAGATAGATAGACCATTAAATAGCAAAAATGATCAGCAAGACAAGATCTACAAATAAGTAAATTTTTTCTGAAACTGCTCTTTAAAGGAGTGATTGCCTTAAGTGGTACTTTTTTTACTGCTTTTTTGTGTTCTGGGCAAAAACTAAAGAAAATAGAGAGAAACTGTAAACAGAAAAAGTTATCAGCAATACAATATTATCAAAAAAAAGGATATTTGTCGTGAATTCTATTCTAGTCCACAATGTTGGAGATGCTCTTAGAGCCTCTAGTTTTTATAGAGCAACCAAGTTGTCTATCATTGTCTATGGGCCGAGTTGACTTATACCTTCAAATACAATTGCAATCAATCACATGAATTCAACGGTGACTAATTTGCTTGGCCTCACATGTCATCATTAATTTAGTTGTTCTTTTATGATTTTACAAATTCTGCATGAAAGACCACAGGGAGTATGTATTTTATTGAACACTTTAATTAATGGATCACCTTAATCCACAACATCATCAAAAATTAGTACTCCATTAATAAAATTATTCCATTATCTCCAGCCCTTATCCACATTCTTTTCCAGTTGATAGCCTTTATGTGTACCATATTTTTTGTTGTTTAGTAATTTATTATGACTTCTTTTTTAGGAACTTCTCTACAATAAACATGTACACTTAGATGGTTCCAAGTTAAAACAGACTGGGTTCCAGTACAACATTCCAGAACTTAAAACAGATCATCTGAAAGAGGTAAGTTGAAGTGGTGTGGCAGTATTATTCTGTTATTGAACCGCTAAAAGCATAACTTTTTTTAAATGGATTGTAGTGGTTTATTGGAATCACAATAACCGTAGTCTGGCTATCTGTCTACATTTCTTGTCATTGTAACTCCTGTTTAAAATGTAGACTGATATTGATAAAACTTTAGGGCACCCGTAAGAAAGTCTTTGTTTTATGTTGCCTTCCCATGCCATGTAGGTTTGGGTAGGTAGATAGGTAGGTAGGGATTTGATTTTTTTGGCCAACGTTAATGTTTTAGACAAGAAAACAATGTCAGAGCTGGAAAATATCTTTCAAAATAAAAATTTGAAATGATTTGTGTCAAAGTTTTTCAGGTAGGCTGCTTTTAAGGTGGGTAGGTAGGCAACATCAAACACTTTGAATATTATTTTGGCCTTACACAAGTTGAATGCTGTACAGTTACCTACAGTTTATAACAAACTTTTCTAAAATTGCCCGTTTATAAATTTTGAAATTATAAAGAAACTAAGGTTTCAACTCCCTCAGGCAAAGTTGACCTTAGATGGATTTGGCTATTTGTTTTAGGTTTTTTTGTCATATAGCTCTTCAACTGTTTCGGTACTTATACATCCCTCGGGTTTTTAATGTTTGGCTTTGAGCGTTTCTGATGAAGGTAAATCCAGAAAAGCGCTTCGGAGGCATGAAATTATTAAACGTGTTGTTTTCATTTTTTTGCTTAAATCCTTTTCATTTGGACTCTGTTGGATAGTTGTCTCCCTTTGCAATCACATCACATATACATAGTTTATACAGTTTTGGAAAACTACCTGAGGATGTGCATAAAGAGATATAATTCCAGTTCAATATGTTAAAGGGGAGATAATTCAAGTTTACTTATTGTGGATTCATTATTATTCGTGGATACCAATTTTCGTGGATTTGGTGGGTAAAGGTGAACTACCAAATTACTTCTTCAATGAATGACAACATTTCCATAGGTTTGTATGCAGACTAGGGCAAAACCATGAAATTAAATATTCACAAAATGTAAGTTGTCTCTAATCCACAAAAATTGGTACCCATGAAAATAAATGAATCCACAGTACTTAAGTATACTTTTACAGGAATGGGGTTTCCTTTTGTTGGTTCACTCACAGATCTTGTTTTATTTGTAATCTTTAATTACAGAGCTAGGATATCAAAATTGTTTATAGTGCATTCTATGCAAGAATTCTCAATGTCTCAATTCAGCTTGAAACTTTTCCATTCAACCAGAACACGACCTTAGAAAGGTAGACTTAAAACTCCTTTATACATTTGACTTGTGATTCTCATCTGAGATTGTGTCCTATTCACACTTTTAACATTTTGACTCAGTGTGGACTACATGACGGGTGATGCATGCGAAGCAGGAGATGCTTACCCTATGGAAGCACCCTTTCTGGCTCCTTTGAAATTTATGAGATTCTTTCAGTTTTTAGCTCACCGGGGCCCGTGAGCTTATGCCATCACTTGGTGTCCGTCGTCCGTCGTCTGTCGTCGTAAACTATTTAAAAAATCTTCTCCTCTGAAACTACTGGGCCAAATACCTTCAAACTTTAACTAAATGTTCCTTAGAGTATTTAGTTTATAAATTGTATCCGAAGTTTTGATCCATCGACAAACATGGCCGCCGTGGCTAAAAATAGAACATAAGGGTCAAATGCAGTTTTTGGCTTATATCTCAAAAACTAAATCTTTAAGAGCAAATGTGACATGGTGTAAAATTGTTTAATTGGTCAAGATCTATCGGCCCTGAAATTTTCAGACAAATCGAACAACCCATTGTTGGGTTGCTGCCACCGAATTGGTAGTTTTAACAAAATTTTGCAGTTTTTTGTTATTATTTTGAATATTATTATAGATATATATAAACTGTAAGAAGCAATAATGTTCAGCAAAGTAAGATCTACAAAAAAGTTAGTATGACCATAATTGTCAATTGACCCCTTAAGGAGTTATTGCCCTTTAAAGACAATTTTACACAATTTGTTCATCAAGTTTGCTAACATTTAAAAATCTTTTCCTCTGAAACTACTGGGCCAATAACCTTCAAACTTTAACTAAATGTTCCTTAGGGTATGTTGTTTATAGATTGTATCCGAAGTTTGTATCCATCGACAAACATGGCCGCCATGGCTAAAAATAGAACATAAGGGTCAAATGCAGTTTTTGGCTTATATCTCAAAAACTAAATCTTTTAGAGCAAATGTGACATGGGGTAAATTGTTTAATTGGTCAAGAGCTATCGACCCTGAAATTATCAGATGAATCGAACAACCCATTGTTGGGTTGCTGCCACCGAATTGGTAGTTTTAACAAAATTTTGCAGTTTTTTGTTATTATTTTGAATATTACCGGGTACTATAGATAAATGTAAACTGTAAGCAGCAATAATGTTCAGCAAAGTAAGATCTACAAAAAAGTAAATATGATCAAAATTGTCAATTGATCCCTTAAGGAGTTATTGTCCTTTAAAGACAATTTTACACAATTTGTTCATCAAGTTTGCTAACATTTAAAAATCTTCTCCTCTGAAATTCAGGTGAGCGATTCAGGCTCTTGAGAGCCTCTTGTTTATGAATTTTGTGACAACAGGGGAGACATATCTCTGTGTCAACAGTTTATTTACTTTGATTTGTATCTTCTTCTTGGATTTATGGCATTTGAACACTGGTGTACTACTGTTGCCTCTAATCTGATACATTCTGTAAGACAAACATTTATCTAATTATTATCTCCTCAGTACAATGTAGGGGGAAAATTATTAGAAAATATGGGACTATGTGAATGTTTTTAATGATCAGGAGTACAATGCATGAGTGATATCTGCACCTCATTTAAATGTGTAAGTGACATTTGCACATCATTTAATTGCATTTATAACATATGCACCTTATTTAAATGCCTAGGTGATATCTGTACCTCAATTAATTGCATATTTTATATCTACGTCTCATTCAAATCTAAAGTGGTATCTGCATTAAATTTGAATGCCCTAAGTAAAATCTGTTCCTAATTCAAATGCATAAGTGATGTCTGTACCGCATTCAAACGCATTAAGTGATATCTGTAACTCATTAGATGTGAGGCTTGGAGGAAATAATGGGGATCCTTGAAATTTTTTATGGAAAGAAAAGAGGAGACATTCAATTTTTAAATACTTCAGATGGGGGCTTTACATTTTTTTTTTTTTTTACAGAAATTGGGCAATTTCAAACATGCAAAACTGATAGTTGATGAATAAACCAAAAAAAGTATCTGATTCTTCAGCAGAAGTGTCTGTATCACTTGATTCAGACTCGCCGCGATATAGCCTTTTTGAGCTGATGCAGCGTAAAACAACCACCAATCAAACTTGATTCAGATGTCATATCTATATCTCTTATGTCATCCACAGGCATTTGGGTCTTGGTTGGACCCCTTTTTCCTTTCCATTTTAGCTCACCTGACCCGAAACTCTGAAACCACTGGTCCGATTGGAACCAAACTTAGCCACACCACACTCATCATTGGGGTAACTGGTATCTAGGTTAAAAATGCAGCAGATATGGCTAAAAATAGATCATTTGGGTAAAATGGAAGTTTTGTCTATTATCTTGAAAACTGCTTTATAATAGAGAAAAACTGACAGTAGGGTAGAAATGTTTTTACATCAAAACTGTCAAACAACTTCTGATCATAGTTATTGCCCTTACATGATGAATTGTACCAATATTTTTCATTTTTGCCTATTATCTTCAGAACTATTATAGATACATGTAGATAGAAACTTTAAAAACAAAAATAGATAATCAGCAAAATAAGATCTGCAAATAAGCAGATATTTCTGAAATTGTCAGGTTACTGCCTATTATTTTGAATCTATAATAGAGAGAGAGAGAAACTTTCCATAGCAAAAATTATCCACAAGATCTAAAAGTTGGGGGCTATATAACAATCACCTTTTTTACCCCCACTCTAAAAAGTGGGGCTATATTGCAATCACCAGTGACCTTATCCGTCTGTCCATCCATTGGTCAAACAAATATTTTCATATCTATTCTCAAAAACTACTTAACAAAAAGGACTTAATATGAAAATAAGAAGATGTGGTATGATTGCCAATGAGACAACTCTCCACAAGAGACCAAATGACACAGATATTAACAACTATAGGTCACTGTACATCCTTCAACAATGAGCAAAACCCATACCGCATAGTCAGCTATAAAAGGCCCTGAAATGACAAATGTAAAACAAATTCTAACGGCCTAATTTATGTACAAAATAATGAACGAAAAACAAATATGATACACAGCAACAAACGACAACCACTGAATTACAGGCTCCTGACTTGGGACAGGCACAATAGTTGACCATCAGGTTTGATGAGTTGTAATGTGTGAGCACTTTAAGGATGTCAGTTAATTTTTCAGTATGTTGAATGAACTCTATTTTTTTTGTAACGCTTTTCTCTGAAACTACTTAACAAAAACACTTCATATTTGGTCAGCATCTCAACAGTAGGATTAATAATGTGTTATCAGGTTTTGAATCTGTCAGATCATCATCCTAAAATTTATGCCAGCTTGAAAAATTTAAATCATAATATCATTGTACTTTGAATTGTCGATTAACACCATCGAAGGTAACATTTACATTTATTGTGTAAAAGATGACATTTTAACATGATTAGAGCCTTTTATAGTATAACATTTATTTCTCATCTATGCATGGGTTTGTTATCACGTTGGGATTTCATTTCAAGGAAGTTCAATGTCTTAAAATGAGATCTAGTACCCAGCCTTTTTGACATAAGGTGTCATTAATTTACGTCATTATTATCATTGATACTTCACTTTAAGAATAAGAGGTATGATTGCCAACTATCCACCAAAGATCAAAGGTCAAGGGTCAAGGCTGTGAAAATCTATAAGTTTATTAATAGGTTACACAGGTGAGACTATCTCTGTATTAACAGACAGGTGTGTCATTGAAAACAGATATTTTTGATAAATAACTGGTTTTAGTTAGAGCCTTAGTTTTTATGATAATTAACACTGAAGTGGTTTATCATATTTGATTTTCAATTTTCTCAGTTCATAGATTTTTCCTTATTAATCCAAGAACTTTCTCATGTGGACTGACACTTCTTCCCCTTAAATTACCAATAATTTTTCATGTGTATACTAGGTTAAAAATGCACAAAGACTCTTTATAACACCCTTGAGATATTTAATTCTTTAAAACACATCAGTTGCATCATTGTCTTGAAGGACTTGGAAAGATCTATCGAATGGTATACTGATGTCTATCAGATCAAATTCTATTTGAAAGACATAAACATTAAATTGCTTCCTGATGAAAACTGACAAAGAATTTGAAAAATAACTAAATACTAGAAATTATTTTCAAGATTTCTTAAAGTGATGTCCCTTGAAAGACCTTCAATTAATAACTGCTTATAACTGCCAGTTATTTGAAGAAAGAAAAATAGAATATAACCATTAGCTTGCTGTTCGGTGTAAGCTAAGGCTCCATGTTGAAGGCCGTACTTTGACCTATAATTGTTTACTTTTTATACGACCGAAAATTTTTGCGGTCGTATATTGGTATCACATCGTCGTCAGCGTCGTCGAAAGACATTTGGTTTCGAGACAATAACTTTAGTTTAAGTGTAGGGATCTCTATGAAATTGAACCATAAGATTCAATACCACAAAAGGAAGGTTGGTATTGTTTTTGGGGGTGATGGTCCCAACCGTTTAGGAAAAAGGGGCCAAAACAAGCATTTTTCTAGTTTCAGGTCAATAACTTGTGTATAAGTATTTTGATTGCTCTGAAATTGTACCACAAGGTTCAATACCACAAGTAGAAGGTTGGGATTCATTTTGGGGGTAATTACCCAAACCGTTCAGGAATTATGGGCCAAAAGTGTTTAAGTGTATGGATGTCTCTTAATTTGTACCACATTTTACAAAAAGAAAATTTCTTCAAAATTAATTTTTTTGGATAGGGGGTAAAATTCATTTTTATTTTTTGGAGGTGGGGGGGGGGGGGGGGGGGGCAATTTTTTTCTCAAAAGAAAATTCTCTTCAAATTTTTTTCCCTCAAGATTTAAGAAATTGTCAATTTTCCAAAGAAAAAAATTGGGGGTCACAATTTATTTTGCTAATTCTTTGTATATAGTCTGAAAACAGATTTACTAAGTATTGCGCGACAGCACAGTGTATTGCACAACAGCAAGAAATCTTCAATTGAATATAAATTCAAATCATACAACAAATTTCAAGTTATTTGACACATTTATTCTGTGTCAGAAACCTATAATGTGTCAAATATTTAATTACAATCAAAATTCAGACCTGTATCAAGCTTCAATATTGTGTCCATTTTTGCCCCAACTGTTCAGGGTTGGACCTCTGCAGTTGTATCCAGCTGCGCTCGGCGAAGCAGTTTATTACACATTGTGACTTGGATAGATAGTTGTCTCATTGGCACTCATACCACATCTTCTTATTTATATTTGAACTTGTTTTTCAAAAATAATGATTTCCAATAATGCCCTTTAGTGATAAGCAGTTTATGTTCATGTTTAAAGACAGTTTATTGTCATTTTAAACAGAAAAAAACCAATTTTAAATGCCAATGTAACGAAGAAGTAAAAGTTAACAAAGAAAATTATCAATAAAAAACACATTTTCAGGTTGTTTTTAAAGTCATATGAACCTTCAAATTTTACAAAAAAAGGTGAATTTGTTTATATATATACTTGAGTGGCCAAGTTGTACTATAAAACACATCTATATGTTTCAGACCCCCTTACTTTCCTGATTTATGGGGGATTTCCCCCATGAGTGGTGGTAACTAGACTTGACATTATTAATTATATAAACTGAATACTCAAAACAGGCATTGAAAGAGGTTAAAAAAGCTTATTGCATACATGTAACCACTCAAACTGTAGTAGAGTCTACAGATAAAAAGGTTTTTTGACATGTGCAAGAAATTCATTCGGTCCTCTTGTTCTTAAAATCCCCCATTTAGATTTTGATCATGATTGCATTATCTTGGAGTTATTGGATAACAATTTTTTTCAGATGTTAGAAGATTTTCTTCAGATGAAACTTTTCCCATTGTCACTCTTGTCTGGAGACGTAGTATGGACGGGTGAAGAGAAATCGTTAGACTTTGAAGATGGAACAGAAGAGGAGGAAAAATCTTAATGTTTATGACTTTGGCTCAAGTGATTACATAGTTCAAGGATATACTGTTTTACAAAAAAGACAAGTGTTTCTAAAATGCTATTGGTTAACCTATTGAGGACCATAATTAACCAAGTGATGATTTATAAAGATCAGTGGCTAATTTCACCAAAAATCCTACGAGGAAAAATACTTGTAAGTCATGTTGTAAGTCAATATACTGTGGACTCATTATTATATACGATACCAATTTTCCTCTACTAAGAGGCATAGGTAAACTCCAAATTTTAAATATTCAACAAAGTATAAATTTTCAGACTTTGGCAAAACCATAAAAACAATAATCTACAAAAAATATATTTTTCCTCAAACCATGAAAAATATGTTTTCCCTCAATCCACGAAAATTGATACAAACGAAATTAAATGAATCCACAGTAACTAACAATTATTTTTTGTCAGAAGATTTTTTGTGAAAGAGCCCAAGGATGTTGAACAATAATTGATTTTACTACTCTTGAACAATGCATTTGTCCAAAGTAAACAGATTATTTATAGGGTTTTTTAAATTATAAATATTTTACTGCAATTTCTATTTTGGTCCACATGTTTGTAATCAATATCACCAAACAAAAGATGAGAAGTGATTTGCCATATATCTTTGTTAAACAGTATATGCCTTAATTACATAGCCTTGCAAGCCACACATGGAAAGGTTAAATTTTCAGTAAAAGTTTTAGAAAAAACTTGAAGTTCCCACAAAATATTGCATCACAATTTAAAACATTTGATGTCATAATTAAAAAGTGATTGTTGCATGACATCTGAAGGTTATTCTGAGACAATTCATTTAAATACCCAATAGGTTGAATACGTCTTTTGAGGTTTCCAAAATATATAAGAATTTTTAAAAGCTTCAATTTGAACAAAGTTAATACAAATTGTTTATGGCTTTAATGAGAGAAAAGTTAACACAAAATTTTAAAGCTTTGATGTTATTAGGGCTTTTCCAGAATTAATTGAATGAGTGAGGGCATGTCAGAAGGCTCTTTTATTAAAATTTGATGGACGGTGGTAATTTTAGACAGATAGCCTTAACAATTATATGAAATAATCAATTAATACTTTATGCATGGCAGGGTTAAATAAAAGGTGCCTTCCGACCCCCCCTCCTGTAAGCCCATAGGACAGTTGACAATTCACAACAATCATTTTGCAAAGGAATAAATTCAAAAAAAAATTTCTAGATTTGATAATCATGATAATGTTGATTAGGAAAAATTTAAATCTTTAAATATCAGATATTTTACTGCAATCATCAGACAGATAATATACACATATAAACAACACAATTCAAGTTTGAGGTTTTTAAGTCCAAAGGACATCACCCTCTTTTTGGGGTTTTAAAGTTGACATTTTTCAAACAATCAAAATTTGTAATAACAAAGTTAAGGCATTCCATATATTAGATGTTGCTAAAATTCTAATTTTGGAGAGGTTTCAGTGGCCGGGTGGTGTAAGTATTCAACTACTGAGGTTGTGAGTTGAAACCCCACATGTGGCAGGTGTATTCCTTTTCAACCTTAATTGACTGGGATTGTCTGTTTTTTTGCCAAGGTCGATGGTTCTCTCTCAGCACTGCAGCTTCATCAACCCCAAAAAAACTGGCGGCCACGAAATAGCCAATATTGCTATTACATGTATTAGTAGAGTTAAACACCAATCAATCAATCAAAATCTGGAAGATATCTAAAACAAAATGGTATTGGGCAATCTGCTATAGATGTATATTAATCATATGAGAATATGATCATTGGTATTTGGCTTTAATTATTTCCTAGGAATAAGTCATCTCCTTGTAGGAATAGCCATAGAAGAAGATCTAATCTCTATATTTTCATTTATAAATGTTCCCAATGTGATGGTCATTTATATAATACTAAAAAAATAACCTGTTTCTCAGTTCTAGAGTACCTCAACAAAGTATGCCATGTAAATATTTGTAGCTACATGTATTTACACAAACAAATCAAGACAAATTTAAAGTTTTTTGTTTTTTTCAAAAACTAAAAGAATAGGTGTAGTGGAGCTTAATAAATGCAAATGTTTAGCTCTAAGCTGTATTAGGTTTTTAGAAGAGGGGGCAGAACAAACATGTTCACACCTTTAACAAAATTTTAAATGCAAAGATTGATGCAAATACATTAAAGCTTTATATGTTTTAGTTAAGTGTTTAGTGTTTACTCTCAGGAGTATAAATGTAGAAATAATCATACTGTATAATCAGATGTTTTAAGACCATTGAATGTCCTAAGTAGTGTAGTGTTATAAGGCCAAGATAATGTTTCTGTAGATCATAAGATGGCCAAGGTAGTGTTTATGTAGACCATTAGATGGCCAAGTTAATGTTTATATAGACCATCACATGGCCAAGATAATGTATATGTAGACCTAAGATGGTCAAGATAATGTATATGTAGACCATTAGATGGCCAAGTTAATGTTTATATAGACCATTTTATGGCCAGGATAATGTATATGTAGACCTAAGATGGTCAAGATAATGTATATGTAGACCTAAGATGGCCAAGTTAATGTTTATATAGACCATTATATGGCCAAGATAATGTATATGTAGACAATGCATATGTAGACCATTAGATGGTCAAGTCAATGTATATATAGACCATTATTTGGCCAAGATAATGTATATGTAGACCATACAATGGCCAAGGTAATGGATATATATACCATTAGATGGACAAGGCAGTGTAAACTAGGGCATGAATCATTTTTCATACTTTTTAAGCCCGTTTTTTAACGCTGTAAATTTTTCTATTTTTTATTATCATTTTCTCATTTCATAATCTCATTCACATGGACAAAATTGAAAAATAACACTGTGTGTAGAAGGTAATGCACCATTTCTGAATCAAAAGGACTTTGGCTGATTTCATTATGCGTACCCCAAAATGTAAATAATGTCACAGCATTGGTTGAACTGTTGATTACCAAACACAGCATTTTGGTGCTTGCAATTGAAAATATTACCCAAAATGCACTAGATTCAGAAATGGCAAATTGCAGGAGCAGGTTGAAAGAATAATATGTCAAGTTGATTAAGGCCAAGTGAACGTAATCAACTACTCCACAGGTTTTTTTTAAAATTTTACATGTGGATTCTGCTTGTAAAAATACATCAGAAAATAAAATAAAAAAAGGGGGTAACCGTTTTCGTTTTTCAGATACAAGCTGTTGAAATTAACAGCATGATACGCCAAAAATACAAAGGATATATAGGGAAAATCATAAAAATCGGCAGATATTTTTACTTTATCAAGATTTTCTAATTCGTTGGTCCACAGATTTTTTTTAAAAATCGTAATGTGATTCAAAAATGAACGATGAATCCATTGGTGCAAAGAAAGTCCTTAGCAACCGTGCTAGTTTTCAAGTTATATCGTCTGGAAGTTTCATTTTTAGCGGAAAAAAATAAAAAAATATTCGGCGACGTTATTGATGTCTACTGTAACGTCGTCATAAATTCTACTCTATAACGCTATTATACCGTACAATGTCGTAACAAAAATCGTGTGTATAACCCATTTTCCTAATTTTTGCAAATGCTCAAGCGTAATCGAATTGATAAGGAAATAAACTGACTAATTTTTTAGGGTATTTCTGCTGCCAAAAAAAAATTAAAATTGGCGAATAAATATACTGCAAGTGAAATAAAGTTACTTTATAGACTCCATCTTTTCTAAATAAGACAGGGTTCCACATCTTTTTGGCAATGTTTGTATTGTTCTAATAATTATGAATCAAATATCGAGTTTGAAATTGTCCCGGTTAGCACAGCGTTGTCAGAATGATTCGATAGATAGAAAATAAAGGATAGGGAGTAAATGTACATGGGACAAAATCGCACACAATGTATAGAAAAAATAAAAGAATTATCAATGAACAGGGCTTTTATTCCTGTTCTTCATCTTGACAGTTGATGCAGGTTCTTCAACAATAAACGAATCATTCATACCATACAACAAGGTCAAGACGGCCCCTAGCGTCGAATTAAGCGGTACTATTGATAAAAATAAACCACAGTTCACCTTCTTGCTCCCCACCCGCCTCTGAGTGCCAACTTGTGCGATGCTTGTGTACGACTGTTCTCCAGTCGAAAGCACTAGAGATACAAGAAAAGTGCAGTAATTTTGAAAGACATCGATCGCCGCTAAAATGTGCTTTGAAGTTACACATGTCGGGAGCGGTCAATGAATTAAATTATTTATAACTATTTGTCATACATTGCCCCAAAAAAAGACCAATATATTCGAAACAACAAATGATAGACAATACATATAAAACTAAACAACAAATGATAGACAGCACGGGACACATCGAAATATATGTAAGAAAACCTAAAAATATATATATATATTAAAAAATTCGGTTATAATATATTTTTTTTTAAATCTTATTTCTGGATGTTCGTATTTGAAAGAAGTAAATATAATTTTCTGCATCTTTTAATCCTCACCATTTCCGGTGCTATTGAGGTATTGCGTACAAAACCCATTATTTTTGTCAGGTTCACACACGTGCACGTGACACAACTCTGCAATTTTATTTTAAAAGTTCCTGTCTCAATCGCTTTCCCTTTTACTTTAACTACACGACAAAGCATGATGTAATGTTTGATGGAGTTTCAGTAACACAAGAAATAATTTCTTGTCCCTTTTTGTTAAATATCAACATGTACGACTCCCAAAAAATAAGAAAACTGCATCTGAATATTATCTTGAGAATTTGTATGGCTGTAAGAAGGTCAAAAGAAGAACCCGCATATGAATTTCAGCCAAATAAAACAGATCGGAGTTTTTTTATATAACTTCCCGTAGCACAGATCATTCCCAGTGTTATTCCTTAGCATTGTGTATATTGTAATGCAGCTATAGCATTGTATAGTGTAATTCTAAAGCTTTGTGTATAGTGATATGCTATAAATGTACTGATGTAATGCTATAAATTTACGGATGTAATGCATGTTCAAGGGCGATGTTATGAGAATGTATCAGTATGATGCTAAATATTGTACCTAGTGTAATGCAAGGTGATTGTTCATAATGCAATGCTACACGAGTTTAACTTGTGTATAGTGCCATTCAAGTTTTTTTTATATCATATAAAAATAAGGAGATGTGGTATGATTGCAAAAGAGACAACTATCGGTAGATCAGATGGGTTTTTTTTTTTCTGTGAGTCCGTTCTGGTCATGGTTCAAATTCTCTTTTGTTTTAAAAATATTTTACCAAATATCATTCAATATACAACAAAATACCTAAAACTTGAAATTTAAAGACTGAACTATCGACAAATTAAGTGTCGTAAAGTATATTAAACATTGTTGGGAATTTTTTCAAGAAAGTAAGGCGCCCGTGACCCCTATTACTTAAAAGTTTCCCCATTATAAACAAAATGAAATACCCCAAACTTCGTTAATTTCAATGTATCATGACGGAAAAATAAGGTCCGTGATCCCAAGTTTTTATATTGAAATTTGAAATTACATTGACTGAAAAGTCTTTTACAGAAGTTTACGAATAATCTATCGTCGAACATTTAGACACCCCAGCTACCTTACTGAATGAAGTGGATGTAAGCAATTATTAGATAGGCAACCATACAGCCTTCAACAATAAGAAAAATCCATACCGTATAGTCTGTTATAAAAGGCCCCGACATTGTAACATTATTTTCTTCGCCCTTCCCCCTTCTTCCCCTACCTTATACTCTTATACTCTATTATATCATAATCTTCAATTGAGACTTGAGAAGAAAAATTGTACTTCAAAATTGTATTCATTTCTTCTGAATGATACCTTAAAGCACAACAAAAGAATACAAATTTTGCAATCCCTTCCAAATTAGAATTTGATAAAGTAAAAACAACATGTTCTATTTTTATCATACATGCGTAGTTTCAGTTTCAACCATGGTTCTAAATTTAGATTCTATTTTCCCCAAAAATTGCGGACGGAATAGGAGACACCTGTTTATTTTCTGCACATTCAGAACTGAGATTTGGATGACATAGATTTTACTTATTCCGAGATAAATGTGATAGTGCTCAATTCTAAGTTTCTGTGTAATGTTTTGTGGATGGAATCTGATTGTCTTTTTTGGCTATGTTCTTCGACTTATAAATGTTATAAGGACTTATAAATGTTGCACTATAGTGCCGTAGTGGTCGATAACCC